TAGATATTTTCTCTTCTTCTCTAGAACTCAAAACTAATGGAAGAAAAGTAGGAAAATAGAGGGTTTTCTTCTTTAATTTATATTTTCTTCTCCCTCACCTATATTTAAATAATGTGTGTGTGCGTGCGTGCGTGTGTGTGTGTGTGTGTGTGTGTGTGTGTGTGTGTGTTGGGGGAGGATACAGGAGAATATAAGTAGCTAGGGGAGAAGAAGTTTAAACCCAAGGAAAAAAGTTAGGTGGAAATGGGACAGCGATCTGTGATGGTTAATTTTAGGTCTCAATTTAAGTGGATTAAGGGATACCCAGATAGCTGGCAAGGCATTATATCTGGGTGTGTCTGTTGGGTGTGTCTGTGAGGATGTTTCTGGAAGAGACTGGCATATGAATTGGTGGATTGAGTAAGGAAGATCCACCCTCACCATCCAGTTGGCTGAGGCCCAGATAGAACAAAAAGGCAGAAGAAAGGGAATTTTTTCTCTCTTTCTCTCTCCCGGAGTTAAGACACACTTCGTCTCCTGCCCTTGGACATCAGAACACCAGGTTCTCTGGCTTTCGGACTCTGAGACTTGCACCAGTGATCCCTCCCCGCCCCCCCTCAGGTTCTTGGGTCTTTAGCCTTGCACTGAGAGTTACACCATCGGCTTCCCTGGTTTCCAGGCCTTTGGACTTGGACTGAACCATACTACTGGCTTCCCTGATTCTCCAGCTTGCAGATGTCCTGTCATGGGACTTCTTAGCCTCTATAATTGTATGAGTCAATTCTAATAAATCCCCTCTCATCTATGTTTCTATATATTGTACTAGTTCTGTCTCTCTGGAAAACCCTGACTAATAGCACATCTCTAAGCTTCACTCTAAGAATGTAAACAACATGTTTTATTAGATCGTATTACCACTTAGTTTTCACTAAGAATTTTAGAATTTCATAACAAGATCTTAAAGTCTCAATGACTTACACAGAATCCGATCATCTCTATGATTTTGATCACCATGGTTATGCTCTTAAATTTATTTTCAACAGTACAAAAGCAGAAAACTCATACAACAAGTTGGCTATCTCACTAAGAAAGTAACACAAACTGGTTAAGAACTGAATGGTGCAATAATTCTCACATTGGGTTTTCTCTTAGTAGAATGTAACAGAAGCCTTTCTGGTAGGTGAAGTTAACTGAAAACCTGCAGTTGCTACTTTTCACCTAATAAAGTATAACTGTTCACAGTTCAACAACAGAAGCAGAGCAATGAT